ATAACTTAAGTACCCATATGCATCAGAAAATACCAGAGCATTCTAATATGACATTTGTCTGGATTGTAACTTCCATCCCAAAAGGAGAAACTACTTAGACATTACCTGAATGAGGAGGGAGGAATTATCTGCATGTGTGATGAATAATAACATAACTTATTTATTGGAAGTTCTGTACCTCAAGAGATGGAAAATAGATGGCTGACCTGCAGCAATCACATCATCTTGGATGAAATCACAATTTTAGCCATTTCCTTCATTTGTTTTTCTTGCTCAAGATTTCTAAACATGTGTTAATTTCTTTGGTCGTTCATTGTCAGGTACAAAGATTATAAATATTTAAAATAAATCACTATTGCACACACACATGCTGATGATGATTACATTCTATTTATATTTGGCCTTTCTTCCTCTTGTAAAGTATTCAAGGTGATTTACATGCACTGAGAGGTTTGGCTGAGGGTTTCTGACTGGTGCAAAGTCACTACTGAGCTTCACTTCTGAGTGAACCCACATCTGCCAACTGCCAGTCCAACACTCTAACCATTATGCCACACTGCTTTAGAACAACAACAACTTAAAACATGATGCATTCATTGGTCATTCATATTCTGATCCAGCTATAGCCATCTGTAGTTATAAGTAGTTTTGTTAGTTATGGATGGAAACGTGCAGTCAAAGAGTCTCTGGAATGCACTGAGGACAATGCAGCTGGACTCGCACACACATTCTGTTGGACACTTAAGGATCTGTTTTCTGTCCTCTTTGCTGAATTTGTGTGTCTCATCAACTCTCAGCCCACTCGAAAACAAAACAAAACAATATTGGGCAGAACCGATGAAATAACTAAGGTTCCAAATAATTATAATTCAGTCATACAACTGAAAGACTAGTATCTGTATAGAAAAAGGCCCTGGCATATTACCACAGGACCACCAATATAAATTATCCAGATCTTTTAGATGTATCCAAGGACACTTAATTACACAGGACTGGCCTGTGCTCACTTTATATAGATACCCACATGCTTTATAAATCTCGACTCTGGAAGACTATACAAACCAAGGTAATAACTATTATGAGAAACCACCAAAAAGCAGCATCTAGTGAATTTAACACTAAGAAAGAATTCCTGAACCACAGTTAAGTCCTTTGATTTCTCAATTCAATATCTGGCAGCCGGGGATGCGGGGTGCTTGCTTGCTTATTTTGGAAAGGCAAATTATTATAATTCCAATGAGTAACAACAATGTTAAATGATAACAGGAGCCGTATGAATGAATGACAGGTGGTAGATTGATTCTTAAAGGCTTTTATAAATGTTTCATGCCAGTTGAACTTAAAGCCAAATATAGGAAATCAGAAATACTCTTGGCAGAGAGCTTAGGTTTAAAGATGCATGCAGGAAAAGAAGAGGGAGCAGAAATATATATGGGGTGGGGGCAGGAAAGCTGCCCTTGAAATTCTCCTTTTGTTTTTTCAAATTACAAGAAGTCACCCCTATCAAGATCTTCAGAAACCAATGGACAGCCTCATTCCAGCCCTGCCCTACGTGGACTGCAGGAGACATACACTACGTACAGCCACTCTGCTGTTTCTATTAATGTTTCCAGGCAAGTGTGTGCTGTGTGCCCCTAGCACCACGTGGGGTGTGATGATGTTTATTCAGTCTGTCAGGCAGGATTTCCTCTCTGGCTGCACTGCCAACAGTTGCCGGCCATTCTGCTGCAGGGGTGGCACCTGCCCATTTTTCCCTTCTGTCTTCTCACTTTTAATCACTGAAGTCTTTTTCTTCTGGTGCACTGCTATGGCTTACCAACTGCCACATAGGCAAATATCTTCTGTGCATGCGTGCTTGCTCTAAATCTGGTTTTATTATGGCAAAAATCAGAACACGGTCCGTACACATGCCTCTTTCCCCGACGACAGCCAGGGAAAAAGCTGCTAGCATCTCCATTATAAACCCAACCAAAAATAGCCCGAGTGCCTGGCACATGTGCAAAATGGCTCAATGTGTTTGCTCAACACAATGGAAATGGCTTTGAGACAAATGCAAAAGCAGTACAAGACATGCAAAACAATTCAAAAGACCGAAAAAAAAAGAAAGGGTGCAAACTCTATGATTTATTCTATTTATACAATATACAAATAGAATTGATAAGGTGGAGAGGAAGGAAGAAAACTGAAAAGCTTGCTTTATCGTTTTGTGTCTCTTATATTCAGCACAATCATTTCATTTCATTTATCACATTTCTAAACCACCCAATAGTCAAAGTTCTCTGAGCAATTTAAAAATATTTAAACCCTCAACAGTTGTTATGCCTAGTATAAAGACAGCTTAACTGCAGGCAGCCCCCAGGTTATGAATAAGTTCTGTTCCTGAGAAAATGGACATTCATCTCTAAATTGAATTTGTATGTAAGTCAGATAGTACATAGTTGGCCTCCACATTCACAGCAATTAGGGGTGCAGGACCCCCAAGATAGTGGAAAAACCACAAATATATTTAGTCCCCCTCTGTCCAAATTTACAAGTACCTCCTCTCTGCAGCAAGGAAATGTTGGAGAGATTTTCCTTTCAGGATGGGCAGGGCAAGAAGGCATGCTTTGGAGGCCTCCCCATCTCCCCTTCCGCTTCCACTATCTCTATGGTGATGCTTTGGAGGACTTCCTCTCTCCCCGTCTGCTTCCACTATTTCTATGGTGATGCTTTGGAGGCCCTCTCTCTTTCTCTTTCCAATTCCGCTCAATCTCTCTATAGTAATGATGAGTTCCTGCAGTAATTTTTTTAAAAAAATCAATAGGCTTTATGGCAGCTCCTTTGTAAGTATCAGTTGTTCATAACTTGGATGTTTGTAACTTGTACAAACATGTGCCTGTACAAACACACAAACAAGGTAGACTCACTCTCATATATACATATCGAAATAATATGCTATGACGTGATGAAAACCCTAGGAGCAGGAGGTATAACCTAGCACCCAAAAGACGACATTGTTGGTGCCAGGCAGGCTTTGCTTGTGAGTGTATTACTGGGGGAAGGATGCTGCTGAGAAGGCCCTCTTCCTCTGAGCCTCCTTGAGTGCGGCCCTTGGACAAGGGCCTTAGACAATGAGGATCATATTCAAGCTTCCTCATTACATTTTCCCATAGGATTGCTATCTGCATCCTGTTAACAGCTCTGCTTATGCACACCAAAAAGCAAGCTGCTATCAATGCGACCAGGTCCCAGGTCCAGCAAATTACTACCTACCACTGGTTAACTTGCAACCATTTCTCCCCCAAAATTCTACTGCTCATGCTTGTATTGCTGACAGAGAACAAAACACTTTGAAATGATTGGTGAACATTACAAAAATTCTCACAGTCCTTAAACTGAAATCCTTCAATCTTCCCTTAAAGATTATATAACCAAGGAAATAGCAGGGTAGTCAGGCTTATAGGTTATATAAAAGTTGAGTCAGAAACCAGTCCTTGTCAAAACAAATGATCCCTTCCCTGGGACCTGTCCAAGGTTCTGAAGGACAAGGTTCTGACCACCTTTTCTTCTGACCTGTGGCCTCTCCAAAGTCCTTACCTGTTGGCCTCTGCTGACTGTCCTGGTTTCTCCAGACTCAACTCATGCCTTATTCTTACCACAGTTCCTGACACACAGGACATGGTTCACATGCTATTATGGGGGAAAGAATCGTGTTCCTAAAGTCACAGGCATCACAAATAGGCTCCTTCATACTGCACAATGAAGATGGATTGCTTATATTATTTTCTTTCCAAATAGAGAATTCTTATACAAGTTGGGTTTGGGTTAACATTAGGCCAATATTCCTCACACCCCAACCCACCCGCTGACCAGCAAATGGCTTTGGCCTCAGTGTACCAAGCAAAGAATAGGAGTGCATAAGATAAATTCAAGGATTTGCTTTGTAAACAGGCTGAAGGCAGGAAAGGGGAATGAGAATCTGAAAGGAAGAAGGGAGCTTCAAAGCAGACAGAAAAAAAGATATTTCTCATATGTGGTAATGGGAGACCTCTGATGCAGCCACAATGGCAATAAACAAGCATTAAACATAAAGAAGATTAGTAAATCCAACACTGCCCAGTTTAACCGAGATACAAAATTCCATACCAATAGCTTCCAATTTTGTTATTTCTTTATTTAAACCATTTATATGCCACCTATCTTGCCCATGGCATGTCTAGGCGGCTAACAAACACATTAAAAACCCCTATAAAAACAGTAAAATAGCTATACATTAATAAATATAAAGTCCAATTATATCATTTTAAAATACAAATGGAGGTTAAGTGGCTTCTAATAGATATTAAAAAAAATGTTAAAGGTGGGTCTTTGCCTGGCACAAAAAGGAGTATAAGGAAGGTGCCAGGTGAATCTCCTTAGGCAGAGTGTTTCAAATGTTTATAAGTTGCTATTGACCAAAAAATAGAACATAAGCAAAAATCAAAATGATTAATTGTCAGACATGTCTAGTACACTCTTTTACATTTGCCTTATAGTATTTGGCATATGCCTTGATAACAGCCATTAAAAATGCAGCTCTTTTAAAAAAAAACATAAGATTCTTTTTTTTAAATCTATCTTCTGGCAAGCTGAACACTTCATTCTATTCTGGTAACAAGTCACCAAGATTTCTCTCTGTGTCCTTCTTCATGTCAGAAGAAAATTAGTAGGTCATAGGGAAAGCCCTCACTTCATTCAATTTGCAGTGATGAAGCTATAATGATAGCTTAGCTAGGATCTTGGTAAGGCTTTCAGCAAGTATGATAAAAGGGAAATAACTAAACTTGACAAGAGTTCATTCTTTCCACAAATAGTAGTTATCAGTGTTGAATAATCCTTGAATCATATACTTATCAGATATACTTTGATTTTCTTTGGCCAATTTTAAAGCTATGCCTGTTTCCCTCCCCCAGCCTGACAATTAAATAAAACAATATGGAAATTTTTAATAGAAAGGGAGGGGTTTTCAAAGTGTTACTCACCTGGATAGGAAGAGTTTCCCCTGAAGTTTCAGATCAGCAGCACAGTCATCTGATTGACAATTCCTCTCAAAAACAGTCTACAAGATTTAAGAAAATAGCATTACCATACTAGGAAGGGGAAATGCTAACCAGCCAAATTCTTCCTTGATCTGCAAGCACCATTTCTTACAAAACAAATGCATCTCAAGGAACTCCAGAAAACAGATCTGAAATGTCCCCTGAACCTCCTGGGGAGTGTACAATAAAAGGCAGTTTGAGAACAAGCAGTCAGAACTTGTGTTAGATCCAGGACGACCTATGGTGGTTACAGTAAGCATACCTTAAAGCATGATAACAAAGACAGTGACAAGGCAGTATAATACTAGAAAGCAGAATCAAGATTTGCAAGGATTGAAAATGCAAAATGCTGTCCCCAGAAAAGTTCACTCAACACCTTACTTAATGTCTTTCAGCACCAAAGATCTTGTTATTCTCCCAGAGCATTTAAACTAATTCATTTTAACCGCAACCTGGTATCTTTCCCCACATGTTTTGGACTATAACTTTCAGAATTTCTATCCATTTGCCCATGATGGCTGAGCTATGGGACTTGAAGTTCACAGAATCATAGAATAGTAGAGTTGGAAGGGGCCATGAAGGCCATCAAGTCCAATCCGCTGCTGTTCCAAGATACCACGTTACACCATCCCGCTCAGATCGCTGTCCAGTTTCTTTTTGAATGTCTCTAGTGTGGGAGAGCCCACCACCTATCTAGGCAGCTAGTTCCACTGTCATATTGCTCTGACAGTGAGGAAGCTTTTCCTGATGTCCAGCCTGAATCTGGGTTGTCACAACCTGAATTGATTATTCCTGTCCTACATTCTGGCATTAGCAAGAAGAGATCTTGACCTTCCTCTTTCTGACAGCCTTTGAGGTACTTATAGAGGGATATCATGTCCCCCCTCACTCTTCTCTCTTCTCTTTTCAAGGCTGAACATGCCCAGTTCCCTCAGTATCTCCTCATAGAGCAGTGTTTCCAAACCCTGGATCATTTTTGTTGCCCTCCTGCAAGTTCAAAACATCTGACGGGTACCATACTGAGAAGGCTGTTTTGGACTGCAGTTCTACAGCTGGTTAAGAGCTGGGGGAGAAGTCACAGGAAGAAATGATAAGTGATAGAATCACAGAATATTAGAAGAGGAACAGCAGAGTTGGATGCTCACTAGCAGAGAGCTTGGATAGCACAACTCCACTGGAAGCTGCCTAGCCTGCCTGTGGAAAGCTCTGGTCCCACAGCAGTCATTCTCCTGACTTTCTCGCACACTTGGATCAATGCCATGAAAGCCCTGGGTCTGCAATAAATCGTAATCACTCATTGCAGTCAGTAGGAGAAGAAATTAAAATTCTGGTGCCTATCCCGCCACCCATTGCCTTGGCCACAGAAACCTTGGACTACAGATGAAGTGGTTGCTGCACCTTGGGGTCTCCCTCCCACAGGACAGGATGATTCTACCAATCCCTGCACTGTGCTATACTTTCAGTCTTGCAAAGGGTGTTTTGCAGCTCTTTTTATTAAAGGAAGGCAGCAGATATGACATGCTTCAATGTGGTGGCTGATTTTGTAAGGCTTTTGTGAGGTTTTATTTATCCATTAGTGTTTTATTGGAACTATGGTTTTAGATGGTTTTAATCCATATGTTACCCAGAGAACTTGTTACTGGGAAACTAATACACAGAGTAAATACATAGATTAAACTAAAAGTACAAAGAAATGAGAACATGACAAATATGTATAATGAGCACTTTTAATACCTTAGTTCAAGGAAAGCTACAGTTTACACAAAAGAAATGCATACATTGTGACTCTTTACTTTGGCATTTCTTGTGCTCTTGATTATTCTCTTTTCATGCCTATCCTTGAATGCTTATCACTAAACACATTCCACACTATCTGTCTGGGACACTTTTCCAATTAAATTGATTGAGCCTTGCCCAAGGACACCTTGTGGCATTGCTATGACAGCTATGGCTAGAATTAACAGCTACAAGTAGCAAGAGTGGGCTGCATTATCTTCCAGGGGAATAAGAACTATTTGTGACATGCTCCTATGATGTTATTGCCCTATGACATTAAAATGTAAGAAATGCAGGTACGCTCAGGATATACTAAGTCATTACCCCAAAGCTATAAAGGCCACAGAAATTAGCATTTATTTCTAAAATGTTGCATTTATTTCTATTAGCAAGACAGAAAGGGCCATTAAGGATCCACTCACACTATTAATTTGAGAAAGGCTGTAGATTAGTAAGAGAGCACATGCTTTGTAGTCAAAGGATTTAAGATTCAGTCCTGGATCTGCAGTCAGGACTGGGAAAGACTCTTTTCTGAAACAATGAAAAGCTGCTGTCTACCCCATAATATGAATTACCCTTTTAATAGACTGACATATTAAACTAGTTGTATGCAGGGAGGGAAGCAAAGATAGACATTCTGGCCCTAAGAAAGATTCCAAATTAGGTCAACACCACTGATAGGCCAGCTAAAACACCACTAATACGATACAGGTTTTCACATTTCCAGAACTCTTTGTCAACCTAGGTGCTAAATAAAACAAGGAGGATGCAAAGGGCAGGGGGATGTCGGGTGTGAAGTCTGTGTTTAGTCACAGTCTTTAAGATTCCTGATGGAATGTAAAAGGCAGCAGAAGACATTTCAATGAAACGTGAGATGCTATGGTACTTAAGTTGCACCCAGGATGTCCCAATGAAGAACTATGCAATGTTTGTCTCCCTGCACCCACCCCATTTTGGGAAATAAAAAATCCAGCTGGAACCCAGATCTGTCTGCACCCATAGATGAAATATCCAGGCTTGCTAGTAGGTTCAGTACTCTTTGGGCAGGGGAGTGGGGAATGGGACAATACACCCTATTATGACAAAATCGCTATAACAGAGATGCCAAAGAATTTTATGTCTGGTCCAGTTCAGCATGCAAAAATCCCCTGAAGAACTCAATCTGTTGACATCACTAGGTTTTAAAGATAGCACGAATAAGCCTTTAACATATGGTCTAGAAAAGATCTGAAAGGGAAGATTTCAATATGCAGAAACTGAGATGCATAAAGGAAGTCATAAAAAAGCAACATTCTTGGAGCCAGAATCAAATGTGAGGCATCAAACATAAAACTCTTCATCTTCCCTCGATAAAGGAGCACTTCCTTGCTTTCAGTGATTGCACTGCTGAGGACCAGTTGCTTTTTACTGCACACGTTCAGACCCTTGGCTGTTTATGGAGCACATCTAATAAAACATATCCCATGAAACCCAGTGCAGGCACCTGATTTCATCTCACTGATGACAAGTAATTAACATTCCTGAACACTTTCCAGGATTTAATTACATACACTGGCTACAAAAAGACAAAATAATTTGCAGAGTATTTCCATTGAGAGCCATAGCAGGTGAAACAAATGGGAGTGAATTCCTTAGGCGCTATAAATGGTTTTTTTGTTTTGTTTTTTGTTTAATCTTGCTCTTAAACAAAGCAGACATGCTTGTGTAAGTGGTGACCAGGAACAGCTGTGAAATTCCTTCAGAAGATGGGAAACATACCATTTCATGAGGAAGGTTGCCAGTATTTTGCTGGGGTGGGATAGGGGACAAGCTTTGGATCTGTGAGCTGAATGTTCAATGGCCAATTTGGCCATTAAGATTAATGTACAGAATACATTGGAAGGTCTCAGCCTAAGTCATCTAACCAGGCTGATGTGAGGATACATGAGAAATCTGGAAAGAAGCTTTAACTCTTGCTACAACTGAAAATGGTCAAGAAATGAGGGTGCCAATACGAATAGCAGTGTAATACCTTCAGGGTCATACATCATGCATGGAAAAGTGGTATACAAATAAAGAGACTGACTGATTTTACATTTACAAATTACAGCCAAGCCAGCATAACAGAGACATGAAAAGCTGAGAAACTGAAGTTGATACTTTTGTCCATCCCTATCAAAAGAAGAACTTGACACAAGGCGCATGGTACAAAAATGTGTGGTCAGTGAGACCTACTCTAGGTCTTGTCGATTTCTAGTGTCTGGAACAGTCTGCATGAACTGAGGCTGTTTCTCTTGATATTCAATAGAAAAGTAACAATGGCATTATCTAGCTAAGGGCGTCATCCAATGGGAATCCCCATGACCCTCCCAACTCAGAGGAGCAAGGTGAAGGCCTTCCACCCAGCGAAACAGTCAGATGGCCAATTTTGCCTGTTTAACTGTGTAGAGCATCAGAGCAGATGGGAAGGAGGCCGAGGTGCCAGCAGGGTCTGTCATATCTTGGCAGCCTTGATCCCCTTCTCAGCCCCTAGAACAGCCCCTAAGACCTCATCTGAAGTTGCTCTTTTGGTCTTAAAGAAGCAGCCGGCATGGTTCTTTCCAAGCCAGCTGGCTGTGGAAGGGGGATAGTGCTCCAAGCACAGAGTGCCTGATCTGACATTGGTGCTGGTTCCCAATGCCAGAGCTGGGACTCCAAAATAAACTTGTGGCTCTCTAGATTTTGCCAGTGATCATTGTTTCTTAAGTTACCTGATTATTGATTTTCCAAGTCAGAAATATAACTAGATACCTTCAGTTCGAATTCAGATCTGAAGAAGTTCCAAATGTATTACTCTTGCTTTCCCTCCTACATACTGGTTAGGATCATTAAAGGACAGTCAGTTTCAGAACTCTGCTCAATCCAATTGTATTATAATGCTGGGTGGGATTCTTTTAAAGTTTCCTGGCATGGAAAGTGTCCATTCACTGCCAACTTGGGGTTCATTCTGACCACCAATTTCCAGCATGTGAAGCCAGACAAGTATAAGTGGGTGGGACTGAATGCATTGGGGATTCCACTCAACCAAAAGGGGAAAATATTTTTTAAATGAACAAGGAGGGAGGGACAGGAGAAAGCAGTTTCCTGTAATAAAGGACAGATTCATATCTTGGTCTTGTTGGGAGCAGAACAGACTTCTGAAGTCTGTTTTAACATAGTACATTCTCAGCATTAAATGATTTGACTCCCAGTGGCCAGAGATGGACCACAGAATAATTAACTGGCTAAAACACTATGTCTGCCTGACTAGTCTTGTCTTTCTCTCTTTAAACACAATTCCTCAATTGTCATTTGGAATTATATCAGGGCTGGACTAGACGATATCCTATCTGCTCCCTGGCTACTTCCTCAGAGAGTGTTTCCACACCAGGCGATAATCTCTGGTTACCATGGGACTTCTTCCTATTGTGTGGAAAGTTTCCTCACTACCCTCAGACCTGCTAGCTAGGAAACTTCTGGTATGTCATCAGACTGTTAGCTGGTGCTTGGCATTTTAGCACAGAACCAGAAATGTGCCATGAGGAATTGGATCAGGGAATGAAGGCCAGATGGGAGAAATGGAGAGACCACTCAGTGTTAGCCATTGATTCCACACTAGACATTTCAGTAGAGTTTACAGGAGAGCTAATTAAAGACTGTAAGCCATATGTTTTGTTGGGCATATGTTGACACAAAGAGTGTGACAAGTGTAAATGAGCATGCTCTTTTGGAGAGTAATTGGCTGGGACAGGGGAATTGCTGGGGCTTCAACTAAGAAGGAAGGAAACCAATGGAAGGTAAAAGTTGGGGACGAAATAGCAGGCATTTGGGAAGGTCTTGATTTCATCATTTGGGAAGGTCTTGACATCACACCGCACCCCCTTCTGGACTGGAAACCTAGTGGGTAGGGCAGAAAGGGGCTTCATCTTCTCACCACCACCACTTCATGGTTCCAATCTAGATTGTGGGCTATGAAGAAACATTGCACTTTTACCTGTTTATGTTTTGTGAATGCACTCTAAATGAGGTTATCACATAACAGCTGAGGCCAGGGATCTGCTTCCCTACTCTGTGTTGAGCGTAAGACAACAGCAGCTGCCTTGCTTATAGTTACTAAGAGAAGGCACCTTCAAGGCCATTAATAACAAGGTTAGCTGGAGGTTCTGGCCAGGACACTGGAAAATTGTCAGTTATAGGGATTGGAAAAGGCAGCTGAAGGTTGAATGTTGGGGACAGTTGATGGCCCATTCTAAGAAAGTTGGTGGCTGAAGAAATCAGGTGTAGCTCTCATGCATGAAGAGGGTTGCTGCATCTGACAGAAGGGTTCCTAGGGAGGTCAGAAAGTATACTAGTAAAGAACGAACAAGCAAATAGAGAAGTGGAAATGTAACAGACCCTCTGCAGTCAAGCTGTGACCTTTCCCATTGGCATACACCAACGGAAGAGGATTATGCAAGCAGTACTTAATGAACTCTCTATACCATTTAAAGTTATCAGAAATCTGTTCTTAAATAATAAGGGCTGGATCTAGGGAACATGCGCTGAGACATGATCCACTTTAGGCAATGTCAAACAACTGACAAAAGAGTCAAAGCTCATTTTCACATTTTACTCTGATGCCAGATCAATGCCATATGTGCATCATTTTCTTTATCCAACAAATGCCACATGGCAAAAAATTAAATCCAGGCACTGGTAAAAATAATTGACTGGTATAATTTATAAGTGGGAGCTAAAAACACAATATCTTATGTACACGCACCAAAGAATTAGCCCCATTGAACAAAGTACAACTTATTTCTGAATAAATATGCATAAGAATGTGGTATAAAGTGGCTTTCTTTTAAATATTCCAATATAGATTGTTCCAAATTAGGTTAGGACTTTAAAGTTTAACAGCAGCACCTTAAATTGGGTTAGGAAATGAATAGGCAGTCAATGGACCTGGCACAGAATAGGAATAACTTGCTCCAACTGCAGCTTCCAAACCATATTTCAAGAGAGACCCATGTCGTGTGTATTACAGTAGCCTAACTGGTATGTGCCGCTGAAGTGAGAACTGCCTGCTCTAAACCAGGCCACAACTGGTGAATCAACCAAAGTTGGCAAAAATACTCTTGACCACCAGTGACACTTGTGCTTCAGAAGTACTCCCAAACTGCATACTTGTCCCTTTAGAGTTAAGTGCAACTCCATCCAGGATGGACTGTATACCAGCATCCCGAACAGCAGATTTCTGGGCTCATGCTTTTGTCTTGCCCAGATTACGTTTCGGCTTGCTCACCCTCATCCATCCCAAAACTATCCCAAGACACCTGTTCCAGATATCCATTCCCTGCTTGGGACTGGAAGGTAAAAAAAGAGAGGTAGAGCTGTACATCATCCACATACTGATGATACCTCTGCCAAAACCTCCAAATGGTATCACCTAACAGTTTCATGTAGAGGTTAAAAAGCTTGCAAGGAAATAGGCCAATAAAACAGAACAGTAATGGATGGGTCCAATAAGGCCATCCAGTCCAACCCCTTGCTCCTCTTCAACAAGTGGCCACCCATCAGGCTGTGGCCCAGTCCTTCCTGCTTAGCAAAGGTGACTTGACACGCTAGCTCAATGTATAGTTATGCGGGCAGGAGCAGAAGTAGAATAAAAGTCCCCCCAGCATTAGCTTCTGGATTCTACCTGCACACCCCTCCCCTTCCTAACACCCCAGTGCAATGCAGTGCCCTCTTGTCACAACCAAGAGAAAGATTCAGAAGAATACCATGGTCAAATATGATCACAATCCCATGCTGTTGCTGCTGTTTTTAACAAGGAGATAATTCAGTATTTCACCTGATTTCTCTGAGCCATCTTCTGTCCCTTTTTCCATCGCAGTACAGGCTTAAGTGCAGGTAATTCTTTTTCCTCTTTGGCAGTGATGTGTTCCCCAAGGCTGTATGCAGCTTCAAATACAATTGGTGATATCACATCCTTGACTCTTCTCTGTAAATTAAAGGACAAAAAGGAGCATTATTTAAATCATACCATGGACTGGGTTCTCCCTGGAGGCTCAGTAAATACCTGAAAAAAATGTGCCGGTAATCACTCTTCTAGCATGACCTTTCTTTTTCCCAGACATATATTTATTTCCACTCTCAATCCATTTGTTTCTCCTTTTTTGCTTGGCACTGAAATTACAGCATTTTTAACATTTCAGACCAAAATATAGAGACCTGGAACAAATGCTCTGTCTTATGAGGAACACAAGCTTCATCCAAGTTTATTTTCACACTTCCAGAATCAAAGGTTTGTCAAGTTTTTCCCTATTGTATCAAAAGAATGTATTGCATTATAATGAAAGACTACGTCAGAATTTGCTAGTCAGTTGACAGACAGTCTGTACCAGGGGAGAGGAAGCCCATTTTTCCACTTGCAAAACCTCTACTTATGAGGACTAGTCCATAAAATATGGTTTACTGTAGACCTGCAGTTTGTGAGAGTGAGGCAAATAATATAGGAACCGAGTTTAAGAGAAATCATACATGAACTACCCCACAAATGAACTTCAGCTGTGTCAAGTCAGTGTCATTGTTCTAGAACAACTGGGGCATGTGACAAAACTTTGCCAAGTTGAGGTACCCACTTAGGAATTTTTCCCCCAGGATATTTTTCCCTTAAGCATGCTGATGCTTCTATTTTGTTCATGGGTAGCTAATATTTTAGCAACAGACAAAGCCACTCTTGCAAAACTTGGGTTCATTATTCATTTATATGGTGGTACCTACTAGTCAGAGTAGTTTCAGGAGAGAAGAAAAGTGCAGTGACTCCAAAGTGCAAGAAAGCTTTAGGTTCCAGTCTCCCCAACACTACCAGTGAGCCTAGCAGGGGAAGGGTACCCTGTAGCCACTTTAAAATCAAACAAGAAGGTGAAAAGGGTCAGGAGATCCAGTCACAAATCGCCTGTATCATATCTACGCTGGGCTTCATAAATTACTGCAGAAGACCATTTTCTTTCTTCACTAGTTTAATGAAGCTCAACGCAGCAGGATTTGTGTGTCCTGACCCCAATCAAGGGTAGAAGTGGATGAGTGTGTCAAAGGTTCTTTAAATGAAAGAATGCATTTGGAAGAGTAGTTGGAAGCTACCAGATAACTTCTTTTGCGCATTGCCTGGAGTGAATACACAGTCCTGGCATTTGCTAGGGAATGGAGAAGAACTAGCAATTACTTTGCAGCACCCAAGTTCTAGTTCTCTCAATTTATTGCCACTAAGTGTAGGCGAGTCAGAATTGCATTAAAATAAGATTAATAGAGATGACTAGACAATAACGAAAGGCCCAAATCATGAGAGAAAAAGTGTGTTGGGGGGAGAGATATTTGAAAAAGTCCACAACTTCAGAGTAAGCCAAACCATGGCTCTCCCCTGCAGCCTCTAGACAATCATCACCAAGGGGCAAAATATGAAGTCTCCACTACACCACCCATAATTCAAGCAATTCAAAGGCTAACTGTTTGCAATCACTCCCTCTAAGGGGGGGACTCAAGCAGGCAGCCACCAACAGAAATGAAGGCAAAACTTTTGCAAGCTGCTTTGGGAAGATTTTCGGTTTTGCAAAGTGACATCACTGCCTCTTAAATAAATAAAATGTGGCCAATGAGAAACAAAAGGAAGCAGCCACAAGCACTGGGGGATTCTGAGGTTTGCAGGAATGCCTGCATCAAAGAAGGAATTAATCCTGTGAGTCCAAAAGAGGGTACGTATAATGTCTCTACATATGTAATTCCCCTGCCTTGCATCTTTTCAGTCAGTGTCCAGTGAAAGACAGGGTGACTAGAACAAAAAGTGATGGCGAAGAATTCCAAAAGGGGCTCTCCAAAGTGGGGAAGTGGGCATCAAAATGGTAAATGCAGTTCAATGGAAGCAAGCATGAAATGATACAGAAACATTTACTTTTGGAAGTCCAAAATGTTAACTTTTTTGAATGTGAGTGAAGCATCACTCAGTGATTATAACTGGGGTGTGGGTGGGATTATGCCTCGGTTCTCTGAAGTCTGAAAAACACTGTTGCGGACTGTAAAATTTAAATAAATAGCAGCCAACAACTTGTGCATCTAATCTAAGAGAAACGATCTGCTCTCCTCCAGAACTTCTTAGTGACTTCTACAAAGCCACCTGATCTTTGGCCACAGACCCCATGCTTTTAAGTAAGGGTTGGAACCCCTATTAAATTCCAGCCACTTTGGAAGCGTGTTTTTGCTTCACTTTGATGAAAACTGTGGCGAGCAGCCCCTAGATTAATTGCAGGTGTGGACATTCCCTTCCAGAGGGCCCTGGAGAAACAGATTTTCATAGAGTCACTTGTCTTTAATTAAAGCTTTTGAGTGCAAATTCTACCCAGCCATGCATTTTGCCACATGCTCTGCTCTTTCAGTTCTTGCTGATTACAGACAAAAGCAGTTTTCCAGAGGACTTGCAGACTCAATAATAGAATAGGCAGGAGGCTCCCTGTCAGCTAACACAATGAAAATAGCACTTTAACTCTGGGACAGCAATAACCATTCTTGGGGCAAACCTCTTCTGGGTGGTTTATTTTGGATGAACTTCTCTCTCCCTGGTTCTTTGATCAGATGATATATACCAGAAATTGTCATTAAAGCTTAAAGGGCTTTGCATTTGGTTGTGTTGCATTTGGTAATATATTTTATTCTGCCAGGAGTTAATTGTGGATTCGCAACTAAAATTAAGGTTGGTTGTTTTTGTTTTTATAGAACAAGGGGGTACCCACTAATTTTAATAGCTCTTAAGCAGTGTTTCTTCAGATATTATCAAAGACAACACGTATGCACAAATAACCACTCACATCCATTGCCACAAGAGTACATGAACAGTGGTGCCTCTTTTGATTTAAGAAAAATCCACTGCCTTGAAATACATTTTTGGGTGGATTTAAAAAAAATAAATAGATTTACTTTATACTGACTTTGTGTCTTTTCAGCACAACATGTACTAACACAGAGAACTAGCATAGCACGTGCCTGAATTAACATCCCTTTCATATTCATGTGATGTTTGTAAATTCAAAGGGAAGAAAATCAAGAAAGAAAGCACACACAGTAGTAGTTCCTTCTCTCTCCAGACTGTCATAATAGAATCAGAAGACTCTGCAGACACTGTATCAATCACCATGCCTAATCCCCACTCCACGATTCCCAGAAGAAAACAGTCCTGACTTGGATGTCAAATAATTCTACTCTTAATTATTGGCCAAAGGTTGAGGTTTAAATATAGGGTAAGAAAGTGTAATTGACCGCACATCAAAGGCTAGCAAGAAGGATGGTGGCCCGTCCATTGTTTTGATGTACATCACATGCTATCAAGGCAATTTTCTAGGATTAAGGGTTGTTTGCACTCTAGCCTTCATTTCATCTCCCAAAATACACAAGCGGTGGGTAAATGACAGGATTCTTATACTAATTCTAGCAAGCAGCAAAGGCACAGTTTATCGATTTTTTGGACATGACTCAGAATATTCCCAACTCAATTAATAAGGGCAATTTTCACTGTTTCAAAGTTAAGCCCTTTGAACTACCCAGTGGCTTAAAAATTGCTTGCTTTTGTTGGCACCTCCCACCACTACCAGGACAACTGTTATGCATGTTCAAAATCTAATATGAATTCTGTTATGAATTTGCAAGAAGAACAAAAACCAGAGATGGATTTCTCTCCTGTTTTGTAAATATGCAGGGAGTCCCACATACCATCTCGTGTATGAAGGGTTTGGGCTTTGTTTCTGCTATGAATGAATGCCATATTCAATAAGCCCCCGAATTGGATAACTAAAATTTCTCAACACTGAAACTGCCTGAGCCAACAGCATATATTTCTCATATAAACATGATCTTAAATATTACAGGGACGTGGGGTAATTTCACAGGGCTAGGGAACTGCCGAAATCAACTAACTATGAGCTCATTACTTGTGATGAAGGGAGCAAGAGAAGCAGAGTGCATCCAAGTATAGCCCCTTCCAAAGTCAACACAGATAGAACCCCAGGATTCAAACCACTGAAAGGAACAGTGGTATTGGAAAACTTAGTGCAGAATGGAAGTGGAGGTTCAAAAAGAAAATTCAAAGATTAGTGGAAGAAAGAAGAGTTAAGGAACTGCTCAATAAAAATGTTGTGCTGTCAGAAATATTCTGAAATCTATAGCATTGATATCACCCTATATCCCTGCCATAATACTTTCATCCTATTAATTTCTGTCATAACAACACTGCTCCCTCCTGCCTTCCATTCTTTCATCCTTTCTCTGTCACATTCTTCCTCTTGCCCAAGCATCCTATTTCTTCTCTGATGCCACTACTTCTTCTTTCCTCCTTTCATTGCCATTTGCCCGACCAATCCTTTGCACAAAGCACCATCTAAATTTTCTGAATAATGATGGTGCACCATAAATAATGATGCCTATTTTAAAGGAGACAATATAATTCACTGTGATGGTACTGTAGCATCTGATCCATTGAGAACATTTGGCAAGCTCATGAGACACAGTGCATTAAATGATGTTTGTGTACAAAGCCTTCCCAAAATACACCAGAGCAGTGCTTCTGGTGAGCTAGAGAAACCAGACATGTCAGAACAATTGTTCCAACAAGCTGCCCCTTCCAAGATTGATTTCATGTGTGGGCTTTTATAGCCTGAACTTCAATCAGTCTCTCCTGAACTGAAATCATGAAATAAACACGACCAAAGGATGCTCAGGTCTCACAATACACACTATTAAAAGTGTGTATGTGGGGGGGGGGAGATTGATAATTACATAAAATTATATTTATACTGTGAGACTACAGCAATCTTGATTTATTTAAGCCTGCAGGAATGGAAAATACCTTTTAAAAGTCACTTCCTGCCAAGACAACAGACTTATTGTTTCTTCTAGTTTTATGAGTATGTGCCCTTTTAAAAAGTCATAATATCTTCAGAAATGAATCAAAATTGTACC